ACGGATGTAGAAATGTATATGAATAAACAGTTCTCAAAAGAAGAATTGCACACTTTTAACAGCTGTGTGAAAAAAATGCTTCAAATCACTAATAATAAGAGAAACTAACCAAAATGTGTAAAGTTTCACCTCATACCAGCAAATTGGCAAAAATGACGGAAAACGAGAATTGTTAATATTGTAGAGGCAATTGGAAGATAGATATATTAGTGCATTGTTGGTGGAACTGTCAGTTTTGGAAAAAATACTTTGAATTTATGCTAATGAGTAAAATACACATTGGTACATTGTTGGAACTATGAGTTGGTACAACCATTCTGGAAAGCAATTTATAAAGTTGTTGAAATGTGCATATCCTTTGAAAGTGTTTCACTACTAGGCTTGTTTGTCCTTCATTTTTGAAGAGGACCAGTGACGTCCTGGGATGATGTCTTGACTTGCATATGAATTGGATTTAAGTGAGGCAAAGTTGAACAAAATCGTCAGCCCCACTCTCTCTTTTAGTCATTGGAAGTCCAGTGACAAGACAGAAAGTCAGGGCAACTAGGCTAATAGCCCCATAGAAGTCATTGATAAAAAGGAAGTCCCCGTGATACCAAAATATTTATAGCAGCACTTTTTGTGATAGCAAAGAATTAGGGGTGGGGATGAAGATGCCTATGCATTGGGGAATGGTTAAACAAATTGTCGCACGTGAATAATGGAATATTACTCTGAACATTAATGATGAGTATGATGAATACAAAGAAGCATGGAAAGATTTATGTAATCTGATGCAGAGTGAAGTAAGTAGAGCCAACAAAACAACATATACAATGACCACAACAATGTGCGTGGGAATACAACCACCCAAAAAAATCAGTAGTAAATGTTATAAAACTGCAAAGAACAAGCATGGCCCCAAAGAAGAGAAATGAGAAGACACCTGCACACCACTCCTTTGCAGAGGTGAGAGGTTCGTGGGTGTGGAATATTGTATGTAATTTAGAAGTTCTGCTTTGTCCCCATGTCACACAATTTTACAAAGGGCCTTCTTTTTAATAACCTTATTAACCTAGGTTAATAACCTTTTAATAACCTAGATTCTTATAACAACCTAAAATACTGTATGTAGCTTCTCATTTTTTGATACGAGTGAATGTGAAGCATGTGACGTGTCCATATTGCATCAGGAGCCCCATCTTTAATGAAGTATTTTCATATCAACATAGTAGATTTAGAGCTGGAATGGACCTTAAGGTTCATCCATCATATCCATCTCCTTCATTTTACAGATGGCAAAACTGAGGCCAAGAAACATTAAGTGACTTGTCTTTAGTCACACAGTTATTAAATTTCTAAAGTAGGATTCAAACTCACATCTTCCTGACTCCAAGTCCATTGTTCTATCCACATTGCCACCTTTTGTCCTGACTTCAATGGAGTTCTGTCATTAGAAAGTCCAATATAAATCTTTCATATAATATCCCATCAATTTCTCTGAAATTTTCTTTGTATTTGTCATTGCCATCTGTAAGTTTGCAAAATAATAACATTTTGTCTGGCATTAGTTTGAACAACATGTCTTGCATATGTAATCAAATGAACATCTTTAACTGTCATCTGTTGCATCATCTACTTGAAGTGTAAAAGAGGATTTTAGTGCCTTAATCACGAAGTTTTTCAGACATGTGAACATTTCTTTTCCAACCATATTCTCTACAAGTGGAAGTATCCAAAGTTTCTTTACATATGATTTACCAAGCATTGTTTTATTTGCATCAATAGCTACAGTTAGGGCCAGTATTTCTCCTTTTGGAAGGTTTTTTTTACACTTTGCAACCATATTAGCAACCTTATTTAAGTAATCCTTTTGATGTCACATTGTTTTAAAAAAAATTTATATTTGCTTATTAAAATAATGTACTTCCTTCTGCAAAAATTTTCCTGCCTTATGTATTCTACATATATATTTCGAGGGTAATAATTTATTAGATTTTATGTTCTTTGGTATATAAGCATTCATGTAAATCAAATAGTAGTCATTCCCTCCAACAATAACAGTATTTGTAAATACCAACGATAAATATAGATCATTCTTAAAAATTTTTTGCTTTTTATTTTTTACTTGTCTATTTCCTCATGCTTGCTTCAGCTTCTCCAATAGATTTTCTCTTCAAACTCATTATGTATATTTAATAGGGATATTATTTCACTTCAAAAAATAGAGACAAAAAAGTAAGACAAATTTAAACTGTTGAAAATCTCAAGCTATTATTTATAATTATTCTCAAGTTATTTGAGTGTTTTCTTAAGTTGCAGGGTTTTTTTTTGTTTTTATATTTTTTTCCCCAATGGAGGCCAGCTTTTATATTGTTCTTACCAAAATAAATGATGTTGTTAAGTCGCAACATGTCTTAATGTCATTCTGGAAGGAAATTCATATAGCTATGCTTTAGGGCTCTGTTTCTGACTTTTCTCTGGGCTGTTGACTGTAGCTATATACCGAGTTGCCTTCATACCTCTTTTCCCATTTTCCTTTCTCTCTTAACACAGTCCTACTCAGGACTGACTAAATAGTTAAGTTGATGTCCTCTGGAAACAGTTATTTATTAACTCTCCTCCTACACTGGATACTTTTTACAGTTGCCGTTTGGTTTCAGTGCTGTTATTTTTCAACTGGGGACCCAGAAGTTGATAAAGATTGGAAGCAGTGGAAGGTTAGTTGCCCCAGTTAGCAAAAGGATTCTACACCTTTCCTCTCCTTTCATCAAAAATACACTCTTCTGTGCCACAGACAGAGGCCAGAATCTAGCATGTTGGGCTATCAAAGCAGGGCAAATGGGAAACGAGATCATATTTACAAGTGTTTTTCTTTCCCTCTCCAACTACATCTGATACCTATCTGCGTATTATTTATTAGAAAAGATACTGGATTGGTTGTCTGGAGGCCTGGGTTCGTTTCGTAGCTCAGCCACTAACTACTGGTATGACCCGTCTCCTATGAGTTTATCCTCATTTTACAGACGAGATGGTTTAAAGCCCTTTCAGCCCCTAAAATTCAATGGTCCTTCCTTGTTTCCTTTCCCACTTTCCCTAACCCTTTTCTGTCCCTTGTATCTGGAATGTACTTCTCTTTACCTTTACGTCTTAGAATCCCTAGCTTCCTTCAAAATAGTACTTTCCTTTTTCCTTTTCCTCCTTACCTCTCCAGGCACATAATGAATGCTTAATGAATGAATGTTTTCTGTCAATTTTTTCCCTCTTCTCATTTACCTCTCTCTTGCTTCCTTTTCTTTACTCTCCTTCCCCTTCTCATCTTCATTTTTTCCTTTTTTTAAAATTTCAGCAAACATTTTACACTCGTTTGCTCACTTTCCTAAATACTGTCTTCTTGTATACACTTTACATCTCTTACTTTCTATTTGTGCTAACACTCCCATTCTATTTATCATATATTTTCTGTTCCTCAAGTTTCTGAGCTTACCTACTACAGTCTCTTTATCTTCTCTCCTATTCTCCCAAGCTAGATATTCTGTTCTCCCACTGGGACAACCAACTGGGACAAAAAAAAGTCTAGTAGAAAGGTCATTTTTGTCAGAGGGGAGATTGAACTGTTGGGTAAGAGGCATCTTGGTTAAATTTCTTCTCAATTTTTTTTTTAACTATAGTGTTAACTTGGTTTTTCATTGACTTTTAAAGTACAAATTTATTGTCTTCAAGTTTGTCATTAATTGTATGAAAAGGTCATGTGTAGCTAAACTTGATATCCTGAATTCTTAATGAATATTATCAATAATATTATCTTAGTTTGGTTTTCAAAACAAAGGCGGCAATATATAGTGACTTTGTTTTATTGCAGAGAGAAATTAAAGTGAAAACTGCCAAGTGTACAATGTCTCTGCTTTAGGGAATCAGAATAATTCTGATTTGCAAATCAGATTATTCTCATTACAAAAAGCTTCTTAATCTTGTAAGTATGAAACAAAGGGTTTCTTTAACTATGCTCTAATCAATCATTTAAGCACTTATTCAGAGCATATGGTAATAATAATAATAACACACTGAGTTCTTTAAGGTTTACAAATGGCTTTTCACATAGCAACCTTATGAAGTAGTGAAGCAGAGTTATAACAGAGACTCGAAGTGGTGTCAAGTGACTTGTCACAGTTAAGTGTCAGAATGAGAATTAGAACACAGTTTTCTTGGTACTAGATACCCTGGCTATGTTTGATATTGTGAGTTAGACAAAAAGAACAGTCTTTAAAATCATAGAGTTTATAATCTACCTGGAGAAGCAATTTTGCATATTAGAAACAATTAGAAAATAATATAGAAGCAATAGATGTTGAATAGTGTTATGCTTTAGAGATTTATTTGACAGACCACCTAGGAGCAGAAGAGTGGGAATAGTCATTGCCAACTGAAAATCAGTCAGTAATAGAGCACCTTCCAAATTATGATGTAAGATAGGAGGAAAAATAGGATTTGGTTTACAATCAGCTTTTGAAGTCCAGATTTCTTGTGTAATGTGAGCCTCTACTGGTGTTTGTAATGATTGTTCTGGTGTGGTTTTAACTTTTTCAGCCATTGTATTTTTTTTTCCCCTCTGAGTTTCCTGAATATCAAGTTAAAATGTTAGCTTTGTTTACTTCATGTGAATTTTAGAGCCTGAGAACCAGACTCATACTTTTTGGGAACAAAATTAAAAACAAAAAGCAAGGGAATGTGGTGCAGTGCAGAGAATACCAGATGTGGAATTGGAGGACCTGGCTGTATATCCTAGCTCTGACACTTTGACAAGTGTCGTTTCAGGACCTCAGCTTCCCAATCTACAAAATGGGGGGGTGAATCAGTTTATCTCCAAGCTCCCTATAAACTCTTAACATATGATTCTATTAAATTTGCCTACAAAGGGTGGAAGTTTTTTTTTAATAATGGAAAACAAATACTATAATACTACAGCAGTCTTTAGCATGTGGTACTTTCGTCTAATTATTCAATTTCTAACTTTTCTCTAGCCATTCCACCCTATGGTGAATCTGGATTGTTCCCGAGATTTCCGTCCTTTTCTCTGTGCACTTTATGCACCTATATGTATGGAATACGGACGTGTTACACTACCCTGTCGTAGGCTATGTCAGCGGGCATACAGTGAATGTTCCAAACTCATGGAAATGTTTGGTGTTCCTTGGCCAGAAGATATGGAATGTAGTAGGTGAGAAAATCACTTAAATTTGTATTGGTTGTTTTTTATCATGTGAATGGAGAAAATAGTGTTTATTAATTTAGAACAATAATTCCATTTCTAAAGACCTAAGTAGTTTCTTAGGGTTTTAAAACACTAAATGGATTCAAGCTTGGAAGTGCAACTTTCTTTGTATTAAGAACTCGTTGAGAATAAATACCTATGCAAATTACATTTAAAAAACCCACAAAAGCATATACAAAAGTAAAACCCAATTTAAACATATATAAAGAGAAAGACATAGGAAATATTCCACTCATTTGTTTCTGCTGTTAAGAATAGACTATGGAATGCTATGCAATAAATATAACACAACAAAATATACATTAATTAATATTATGTCTAATTAGAGGAGAGAGTTGGGTGAAGAGAGGGGATGGCATAATCAAAAAGGGAGCATAGTGCAAAAAGCAAGACAAAACCGTAGAGAAACAAGGGCAGATAATTTGGGAAAGACACTGACAGATAATCTGTAGACTGGAGGGAAAAGTGAGTTGTTGGATTACCTAGATCATATTAGTATATAAATTTTTTTTCTCTTTCTACTTTGCCATGATATAGGGAAAGATATAAAGAAGTCAAGGGAATTAGAGGGACTGTCTTGCTAGTTAGGAAGGCTGGAGAAGACTTTCCTTTTCATTAGTTAATAACCTCAGTTGAATAATGTTGATCAAAAGCTGTAGGGAAGCCACTGGAAAGGGCTTTTAGTGCAAAGGTTTCTTGAAGCATGAGTGCATATATTGTGAAGGTTTTAATAAATTCAGAATGACTTAATCTGGAGAATGAGTTATTCCTCAAGGAAAAATCAGGGTTAAATTAAATAGTCACTCTGAATAGTTAATAAATGAAGTACTTAATTCTATATGGGTACTCATATTTCTTTAAGTCTTATTCCAAATAATAGGAATATCTTACTTCTATGTATAGTGCTTGACAGTTTTCAAAGTGTTTTTACATTACTTTCCTTGCTCCTATATTTTGTCTTTTCTAAGTATTTTTATGCCAATTAATGACTTTATCTTAGCCATTTTAATAATGAAATTTACTTTTATAGGAAAAACAAACTGACTGAAAAAGCATATTATTCTCCTTGATATAGTTAATCACACTTATGGGAAATGTGGCTATTGTGGGAAAAGGCATATTTGATTTAATTGTAAACAGGGTACCTAATGAAGAAATGAACAGTCTTATGCAAACCTAGACCTATAGCAGGACCTAAGATAGTAAAGGTACTTTTTTTTTTAAACTTCTTAGGTTCCCAGATTGTGATGAACCCTACCCTCGCCTGGTAGATCTGAATTTAGCTGGAGAGCCAACTGAAGGAGCCCCAGTGGCAGTTCAAAGAGACTATGGTTTCTGGTGTCCCCGAGAGTTGAAAATTGATCCTGATCTGGGCTATTCTTTTCTTCACGTTCGTGATTGTTCACCTCCTTGTCCAAATATGTACTTTAGACGAGAAGAACTTTCATTTGCTCGATATTTTATAGGATTGATTTCCATCATTTGCCTCTCTGCCACATTGTTTACTTTTTTAACTTTTTTAATTGATGTTACAAGATTCCGCTATCCTGAAAGGCCTATTATATTTTATGCTGTCTGCTACATGATGGTGTCATTAATTTTCTTCATTGGGTTTTTGCTTGAGGACCGAGTAGCCTGCAATGCATCTAGCCCTGCCCAGTACAAGGCTTCCACAGTGACGCAAGGGTCTCATAATAAAGCCTGCACTATGCTTTTCATGGTGCTCTATTTCTTTACCATGGCTGGCAGTGTCTGGTGGGTCATACTTACCATCACATGGTTTTTGGCAGCCGTACCAAAGTGGGGGAGTGAAGCTATTGAGAAGAAAGCATTACTTTTTCATGCCAGTGCATGGGGCATTCCTGGAACTCTCACTATCATCCTTTTAGCTATGAATAAAATTGAAGGTGACAATATCAGTGGCGTATGTTTTGTTGGCCTCTACGATGTTGATGCATTGAGATATTTTGTTCTGGCTCCCCTCTGCCTGTATGTGGTAGTTGGAGTTTCTCTTCTATTAGCTGGTATCATATCCTTAAACAGGGTTCGCATTGAGATTCCATTAGAAAAGGAAAATCAAGACAAGTTGGTGAAGTTCATGATTCGGATTGGTGTGTTCAGTATTCTGTATCTTGTACCACTCTTGGTTGTAATTGGATGCTATTTTTATGAGCAAGCCTACCGTGGTATATGGGAAACAACATGGATACAAGAACGCTGCAGAGAATATCATATTCCATGCCCCTATCAGGTAAGGAAACACATTATATATGTCAGTATTTGTAGCACTGAGAGCAGAGGGATTACCACAATGATTTAACTGTTAAACCATTTTAAACATTTAGTCAAGAATGTTATGCTTTAAAGTATTTATGAACTTAGAATTTTATAATCACCTAGCTTTAAAAGGACAAAATGAAATAGGTATATTAAATACATAATGCAAATGTCCCAGCTTTGGATAGAAGCCAGGTTACGTCAGATTATTAGTAATTTGGAGCATTTTTTGTTTATATGGTTGTTGATAGTTTAGATTTCTTCATTTCTTCATACCTCTTCCTAGTCTGTGATCAGATATCTATTTGGGAATGACTTTTTTTTATATGAATTTGAGTCTGTGCCTTATATGTCTTAGAAATGGGAACTTTATCAAAGAAACTTGATGAAAAGAATTTTTTCCCCAGTTACCTGTTTCCCTTCTAATTTTAATGGAACTAGTTTTGTTTTTGCAAGAACTTTTTAAATTTTATAAATCCAAATTGTCCATTTTACCTTCAGTAATCCTCTCTATCCCTTGTTTGGTCACAAACTATTCCCCTATCCATAGATCTGAAAGGTAATTTCTTCCTTGCTTTGCTAATTGGTTTATGATGTCATCTTTTATGTTTAAGTCATATCTATTTAGAATTTATTTTGGTATATTATTTGAGGTGTTAATTTCTGCTAGACTTTTTTTCTAGTCTTTCCAGCTGTTTATGATGAATAGAGAGTTGGCACTCCGGTATAGTAGCTAGGATCTTTGGGTTTATCAAACAGTAAGCATCTTGATTTGTCTGCTTTTATAATGTTGTATGCCTCATCTGTTCCACTGATCAACCTCTCTATTTTTTAACTAATACTAAAAAACGTTGATAATTATTTCTTTGTGGTATAGTTTGAGATCTGGAACTGCTAGACTTCCTTCTTTCTCACTTTTTTTATTATTTCTTTGAGATTCTTGACCTTTTGTTTCTCCAGATTAATTTTATTATTTTTCCCAGCTCTGGAAAGCTAGAACTTTAGTAGTTTGAAAAGAGTATTCTGTTATATTAATGTAACTTCTAATGTATGTCTTAGTAGATAAAATCCTAAGTATTTTATATATTCTATAATTATTTTGAGTGGAATTTCGCTCCCTCCTGGGTTTTGTTGGTAATATACAGAAACACTGATGATTCGTGTCAGTTTTTTTTTTTCTGTTGAGAAATTTAGCTAAACTTATTGTTTCATTTAAGTTTTAGCTGACTCATCTTTGGCCTGTCCAATATAACCTTTAGAAACATAGCAAAAATTATGATATTGCCCAAGTTTATCTATTGATTTAACTCTGTGCCAAATTACTTTATAAAGGATAGCTTTTAGACAAAATAATGCAAAATTTATGAAAAGGGAACAAAAGGGCAAGATATTAAGGGAAATAATAAGGGGAAAGTGGGATAATAAAGGTTTGATGCTACAAATCTCAAAATTATAATACAGGCACTGGGCCCTGAGTGGGAGCAGCAAGGTGTGTGTGTGTGTGTGTGTGTGTGTGTGTGTGTGTGTGACAGACAGACAGACAGACAGGCAGACAATCTGAGCAAACTCCACCAGTCTCTCTTTCTTCTAACCAAAACCATAAACCATGTTAGACAGGTTGGTTTGAGCAGAAATCAGGAGCCAGGCCAAAGATAATACCAGGAAAGTGCACAAATGGCAGAAGAAATGGGTGATTGTAGGTGAAATGTTCCTACAAATATATATGTGTCCCCATTAAAGAATTGAAGAAAAGCAAGAACAAGAAAAAGGACAAAGATGAGAAATGCCCCGAAAAAATAACAGCCTGGGGATAATGGATATGCATGATGAAAACAGCAACCAGAGCTCATAGATCATCAAACAAGCAGAGATTACAGCAGCTCAAGTCCTATGCAGCGCCCAAGCAAAAATGATGAGGTCCAAGCAGATCCACAGGAGCAACCTGGGTCAGAAGATATCTCTGATGAGCAGAATTTACAGTCCTCTATGGAGAACTCATTGAGTAGTTCAGAAAAAAAATAGAAATGCAGCCTTCTAGAAACAGCAATGTAACCATGGAAGCATAAAATAGTTACAAGGATTCAGAAGGATTCACCCTCTATAAAGATGAAAGTAGAGGCTTCCCAACAAAACATGATTCAGACATAAATTAGATTTTCTGATAAAATTTTTACCTAAGGTACAAGTCAAGTAAATAAGCATTTGCCAGTGGACTTAATTCTAGAACAAGCAGAATAATGAATTTTCTCTTAAATGAGAACAAACTTCCTAACTTTCAATTTTATTGAGGAAAAAAATCAAGGAGACCCAAAAGAGTGTCACTTCTCAGACACTGGAAAAACAAACAAACAAACAAACAAACACTTTTTCCTGTAGAAGCAAATGTCCAGAACTTTTAAGTTACTCCCTATGGAAAGGTTGGTGTCAGGAATTCAGGAGGGTCTAATGTACTGTTTCTAATGATAATAAGAGTAATAATAATAATAATAACATCCCACAGGGCTCTGTCTTAAGACTTTTTCTCTTCTTCATCTATTCTCTTTCACTTGGTGAACTCATCACCTCCTGTGGATTCAGTTATCATCTCTATTAAATATCTCAAACGAGATGTCCTGTAGACATTTTAAACTGAAGATTTCCAAAATTGAGCTCATTATCACTCCCTTCTCTCCAAGTCCTCCTCTTTTCCTAACCTCCTTATTATTATTAAGGGTGCTACTATCCTTTCAGGCACCCAAGTTCACAACCTAGATGTCACTCCTCACTCTCTTGGAGCCCCCATATCCAATCATTTGTCAAGTCATGTTGATTCTGCCTTTATGACATCTCTTCTGTATGCTTCCTTTTCCCCTCTGATATTCCCAGCACCCTGGTGCAGGCAGCTCATACCTGGACTATAGCAATAACCTCTTCATTGGTCTCCTTGCTTCAGGTCTCTCCCCATTGCATTCCATCCTCCACTCAGCTCTCAAATTATCCTTACTAAAGCACAGGTCTGACCATGCCATCTACCCTATTCAGTCACTTCTAGTGAGTACTTACTAACTCCAGGATAAAAAGTAAAACTCTCTGTGTGATATTCAAAACCCTTTATAACCAACTCCACCCCCAACTTCTTACACTTTACCTAACCCAGCCTATTCTTCCATACAGTGACAATTGCCCCTTTGCTGTTCCTTGCACAAGGCATATCCAGTCTGTCAGCTCCAGGCATTTTCACTGGTTATCTTCCATGCCTGGAATTGTCTCCCTCCTCCTCTCCATCCCTTAGTTTCCATGGCTTCCTTTAAGTCCAGCTAAAATACTACCTCCTACAAGAAGCCTTTCCTAACCCCCTTTAATGCTAGTGCCTTTCTTCTAAAAGTCTGTTGCTAGGAAGATCACCAATAGGAGACGCAAGTAGAAGTGGACAAAAAGAAACAGACTTTCCCCTCTGTTGATTTTCTCCAGCTTATCCTGCTGTGGCTTGTTTGTACATAGTATTTTGCACATTGTCTCTATCAATAGACTGTGAGCTCCTTAAGGGCAGGAACTATCTTTTGCCTTTTTTTGTATCCCCAGCATGTAGCACAGTGCCTGGTACGTTGTAAATGCTTAATAAGTCTTTACTAATTGATTAACCAACTAGTTATAATAAAAAATTATTGCTTCTCTTGCACATATTGCCAGTATGCTCACTTCCTGTCCTGATTTGCAGTGTGGGAGGTGTAGCTCAGTGAGCAAAGATAGAGGTGGCTAAGAGCAGGGGAGGTAGTCTGGGCCAGGATAGCTAAGTGGGCTGCAAGTAAGCTATATATTTTCAAGCTCTTCACAAGGAGAGATTTGTGGGTCCCTTTGCCCCCTTCTCCCTATAATTAATAGTTTGGATGCAGAAGTAGAGATGACTGAGAATGTCAAAATGTTTCTCATAACCTTGCCAGGGGAATGAAGGATTCCATCTGGGTCATTTGTACCATCTCTAAACCAGATGCTAGGACCTGTCAGAAGAGGGAAGAGTAGTATTGAAGAAAGGTAAGCACTATTTTGATTCAGAGGAGAGCCCAGTGTGGAGGGTATAACCAGGACAGTGAGCCACAGTCTCTCCTTCAATCAGTAACAGCTCAAATTATTGGAGAATCCTTCTGCATGGAGATTTCTGGTCCTGGCTAATCTTTCACTTCACCTTCAGTGTTCTCTGGGTACTCTCTCTGTGTTCAGCAAAGCTGTTAATGGCATCTGTTTCCAGGATATTGCCTGGCTTTTGAAATGTGGGGGAGGAAGTCTCAACTGTTTCTAAATATCACAAAGATCATCACTGACATGTTTTTCAGTCTGATGTAGGGAATGTTTGTGAGTCTCTTCCCAATCCATCTTGTTGGCCAATTGGTCAGCCCCTTGCACATGTTGCTTCTCTACTCATTCTTGTTCTGAGTACTGCTGGTTCAACAAAGAAATTGAAATGCATCATTGACTACACAACACTGAAAGGAATTGGTCCTACTACTTTGAATTTGATCTGCAGTCTTATTACATTATCATCTGATACCTTTTCTCTATCCTCTTTCCTCTGTTCATCATCAGCATAAGTGAAATGAAAAGCCCTGGGAAAGTGTACTGCTTCTGGTTACATCTCTTTTTGGTGATCTTCCTAGCAACAGACTTTCACAAGATGATTTACCTGCAATCTTCCTGGGTAGCTCAGAGGCTACAGAGAAACTCCCTTGAACACATTCATCTGCTCCCACCAACTATTGCCAAAGAAGTTGAGTTTGGGGCCAGGCATTGGTAGTTGGTTTCACCCAAGGAAAGCAGGACTCACTCTGCCAAGGGCCTTCTGCACATTTTCAGTGTTCTTTATAAGGATTTGGTATTTTCTTATTGAAAGCGTAGGGCAGAATCTTTTTGACATTCACATCTAGGTTTTTAATACTATTGCAAATCTAAAATGACAGGTTTTTCTGCAGCTATTTTCTAGCTTTTGCCAGTGATGTGCTG